AAGTATTAAATGCATATCAGTTAGTGTGTTCAATACTTTTTTCCTATGTCGTTTCATTTTAATACACATAACCTAATTTCTGGATATTTATGCATTGATTTCTTTGCTTGGGTAGATTGAAGGGGTTGTTACCGACATCCGGTGAATGTCATGTCAATAGCACCTCTAGAAATATATTTATTAGAAAAATGGTGGCCTGTTCAAAACTAATTTCACCTGCTCTATTATCAATTTAACATGAGATTGGTGTCCAAAGATTTTTATTGAGTCACATTTGACTCCTTCCTGAGAAATTGCTAAAACAGATATCCAATACACTGCAAAAACACAAAATCTCTCCCAGTGTTTTAGCAAATATTATGAATAAATTTGAAATAAATAAGTTCTACTTACTATATGAGTGAAATGATCTACCAGTGGAGCAAAGCATTTATTGCTCAAAAGCAGATGTTTTTACTTATAAATGATCAATTTCATCAATATTCGCTGCATGATGCACACTAAAGTCAGACCTTCTGGAGTAGCGCTGTTGTTCCTGGGGCCATTTTGTTTTTTAAAGAAATCAACACAATGTTAATTTGAAAAAGACTAAGTCCACTTTAGTCATCAAAGTTGATATAAACAAATCATATCGAGCTTTTACTGTCATTAAAACTACCGGTATGCACATAATCAGTTCGGTAAACTGTTCATCCCTAGTTTTATAAAACTCTGCTATCCTTAATGTAGCAATTAATCATTTACATTCATTTTAAATTGTGATATGAATTTTCCAGAAACGCTTAGATTTCAAGGGTTGTATAGTTTGAATAAATTAACCATTTATACACTGCACAACCTCTCCCTATACTGAATAAAACATACCAGAAGGTAGTCCTGGAGAAAGTTATAATGTTTATTTATTTTTGGCATTTGAAAGAACCGATCTCATTTAAGACAGGGCGGCTTCTCTCCAGGAGAAAGGTAGCATCCACTTTTAAGAAGGATTTCAGTTTGATTTGACATGGTGATTGTTGCAAAAAATACCCTAATCAAAAATTAGGGTAGTATCAAGTTAAGAATATACCTCATCATCTTTCCCTGGAACAAACAGCACTAGGCAGAGGTCTCTATGATAGTTGGTATCACTAGAGTTGAAGGCCTTTTCTGAGCTGGTCAAGTATCAGGATAATTCTCATGGTGGAGTGAAGTACAACAGTTCTAATGAAGAAAAAAAATCACTAGGAGACTAAACAATGGTGATAAAGTTGTTGCATATAAATGGTACAAAAACAAACAAAAAAAACTTCTACCTATAAAGAAGTTTAACAACGCAGCTTTACATTAAGTCACTGTCACTTTTAATTCATGTTTTAGACTAAAGAACTACTGGAAATGGCATCAAGAAAGTATTAACAGCACTTCTTTTTCTCCTTTTTTTATTTTGTTAGAGCCTTTTCCCAAACGATGATAAAGTTATTTTCTTCTTACATTCTGCACACAAATGTGTAGAATGTTTTCTATTCCGTCCATGTGGAAAAAACATTTTAGACATTTTTACCAATTACTAAATAAAATAAACCAAATAATCATATTTACATAAGTATTCAAATGTGTTGTGATGGTGTTACAAGGTTTATTATGTTAGTTTTTAAAGTGGGTTTTTATATTATTGTAACAGCCAGATATCCCTCCTGACAAGTTTTTTTTTTTTTTGGTTACCATGGCAGTGCTCCAAGGCAGCAACAGAGAA